GCACTTTGTGTTACATTTTGCTTGTATGAAAAGTGCCATGCACATAAAGTCGGACTGATTGATTGAGTATATATAGGCCAGACAACATATTGCTGTTTGACCTACATATACACTGTATGACCCACTATATCATATTTTTTTCATCACAGTGATTATATTGTGTTTATAGCCGATTTGAGCCCCCTCGCTCACTGCAACAACTTCACTCTGTGACTATTAATCCTGTATTATGAACCTTAAACTAGGCCAGAGGACAGACGAGTGCAACGGTTGAGGCGATCATAAACACCTGGTTGCATTGCAGATTCTGACATTTTCCCTTTAGTTGTTGTACTGTGTCAGCACATAACCAATATTCAGCACAGAACCTGGTTTGTTCAGCCTGCAGAAAGGAAATATTACTTAACAAAATAGAAAATCCTATTATTGATGACCTCTGAGTGCACATTCAGCCACAGGGTCTATGAATTGGAGCTTAGTAAAATAAAAGGAAAATGATTAAGGACTTCTGGATTAAGGAGAGCATCTTTAAATCAGTGATTTGTTTTAGGTTGCAAAAATACAAATTAAGCACTGGTGCATCCAACAAAATCTCATGTATTTAATCTGTTTTTAAGTCCTGCATGGTGCATGACGGTGGCGCCTTTTCAATTCAGAAAGTAGTTTTTTTTCTGAATCGTGAGGTGGTTTGGGGTTGTGACGATATCTGCAGGCACAGTAGAAACTTCCCTCCTCTTAGCTGTGACAAACAGCATAGTCAGAGTGCAGATAATAAATAAAACTGTATGTGAATGACAGTTTTATTAACAGTGTTACAAAGTGCATTACAAAAGAAAAAGTCAGCAAACAAAGCAAACAAAAAGCAGAGGCAAGTGAAAGTAAAAGTACAATCAAGACATACAAAACAAGGAGCAGGATAACATTAAAACCAGAAGAAACATAGTAAGTAACAAGTAAATATAAAGCTAGTCAAAGATAAAGAGGAAAGGTCACAGGGTTACAACACAGATCATGTTTTTTCCTCTTGGGGTCAAAAACAGTGTAGCAGCGAGAGCAGTCAAAAAACTCAAACAGACCCTTCAATCACATTTCATCTTACAGGATCAAAATATTTTTGAGCTACTGTACACGATTAAAGCTCTATTTTTATTTTAGTCTTCCCTTCAATGGGAAGATGCTGAATAATCGTCTCTGCATCATCCATCAGATTATATGACTTGCACATGATAGGTAATAATATATCTGGATTCACTGCACCAGCATTCAGTGCAAGCATTCATGTGTACAGTGCAGAATAGAGACTGGAGTTCTCTTTGTCCAAGAGGGAGTTTTACTTTGTATCTTGCTTCATGTGACTACTTCCCAAATATTAAAAATCAGAGCATTTCACAGTGCAAAGCAGAAAAATACCACAATTTTTCCACTCCCATACATCATGCTGTGGCCCTCAAAATGCAGACAGGCCTCCAGACTGTAATCTGCACAGTTTGCTGAAGCATCAGACAGATGTGCGTGCAGGTTTTGCCTCCTTAGATTTAGTTCAGGATCAGTGGTGATGGGCTTACGTCCAGTTGTCCACAGCCCTGGTTTTTTAGAATCAGAACCGGCCAGATGCTGTTGGACTCATTAAATTAATCTGCCACCAACCGCCCGCTGCCAAACTCTCTGTCAGTGTCTGAAACACTGACCTCCAAAAGTCTTCAGACAGTTTGAAATCCAGCACACAGTGCCTCCACAAATGTTTATATGATGTTTGAGTATTAGTATAGTCTGAAACCTGCAATATTAATTAGTCTCTTTTAGATGTATAGTGCAGGTGACTGGTTAGAACTTATTAGTTTTTTAATAATTATTTGATAGTCAACAGTGCAGAGAGATCATAAACACAGAAAGAGAGAGAGAGACGGCATGCAACAAAGGTCCTTGCCATTATCGTCCCATCACATTATTTAAAAACTGTCCTAAATTTATTGTAAAAAGTGAGATTTCCATCTATTTTGTGATTATTTGGCAGATCTAAAACCCTCAATCAACAGTGAAATGTTCTTGTCATATCAAAACTTCAAATTAAATGACTTTTCTGTACAGTACTTTGTAACCTTGTTAAGGAAAATGCTATATAAACGGTGTGTTGTGTCTGTGAAGATGCTGACCCGCTTCCATCCTCTCCTCCTCAGATATGCTGTTGCTGTGGACCGGCTCCGTGCTCGCTCTGCTGTGCCTTCTGTCCGCCGGTCAAATCCTCCACCAGCACGCGGGTCATGTACACCCTCTTCCACATCATGAGCTGCGCCGTCTCCTGCCTCATGCTGTCCCGCACCGTCTCTGAGCTCGTCAGGGAAAATGTAAGTACTGGATCTTATCCTCCCAGATTGGTCAACAAAACATAACCACAAACCAACTGAAATATGACCATAACAACCAACAATCAACTGGCAACAGAACAAAAGAACTGTGTAATCCTTCTGTAAAAAAAAGTCTTGATACAAATAACTCACTGTAAAAGTGGGGGAAGCAGGAAGCAGGAAGCAGAAAACTGTGATGAGGCCCCAAAAGTTCAGCTGTTCAGCTGTGCAGTCCTTATATTCCCCAAAATGAGCTGTGATTGGCTGCAGGTCAACCAATAGATCCGACAATAGAAAGGAGAGAACAACAAACAGCTGAGGCACGTTTAATAGCTAACAGAGAAAAAACAAATACAGTCAAAAACAAAGAAATAAAATGAAATACTTTAAGAATCGGGATATTCTATGACACCCGAGTTACTGTACCTTGATCTTTGGAGGGCAAAGAGCTCAACAGACATGTTAACAGAAAAATAAATCTCACATCACTTGATAAACTGATATTGTTTTACTTTATTGAGTGCAGTTGTGGGTACACACATAAAACCTATTTCTGCTGTACATAAGTACAATTTGCGGTACTTGTACTTAACTTATTTTTCTATTGTATGCTACTTTATACTTCTACTTTTCCACATTTCAGAGGAAATTATAATATTTTTCCTTCACTATATTTAGTGATATGCATTATAGCAATACTGTTGCTATAATGCAATACTTAATGTATTGCTATGATATGCATTATAGCAATACATTAAAAATCAGATGGCACAATTAAGTGAAACACATAAATACTGCCTGAAACTGTTCATGTTATTTAAAAGAAAATAAAAGAACCTCATCTCCTTGTCCTTTGCTTAGAGTTTGGAGAAGTTCAGTGAATGATGACATTCTCATTCAGGCATTTTCTAAACGTTTTTTGCATTGAAGATGGATAAAGATCTATAAAAAAGGACATATCAATTTTTTATCATCTTCTGAAATCTTCTACCAGACAGAGACAATACATGGTGTGTGTTTGTGTGTGTGCTTCAGGTGCCTTTCTTCAACATGGTGTGTGACCAGGCGCATGGCGGAGGCCACTGTGAGATGCTTGTGGGCTACTCGGCGGTGTACAGAGTCTGCTTTGGCACTTCCTGTTTCTACCTGATGATGGCGATCTTCCTCATAGACGTGAAATCCAGTCAGGACTTCAGGGCGCTCATACACAACGGGTCAGTTTACCTCATCAGACATCTCCCTCCCTAACCAAGGCTCGACTGATTTTTGAATGATTGCACATCATCCAGACAAACACTAGACAAANNAGACAAAATAGTTCATGAATGCAACACAAACAGAAATCCAGGACGTCTGTACGGGCACATGAACACAGCAGGACTCAAAAACAGCAACAACAAATATTCAATTACATATATTCTGGCATCATTAAAGTGTCCACCACATTTTTTAGACCAATTTGTAAGGTTTTTCAAAATCCTGCTGACAAATAGGTGATTAGAAAGAAAGAAAGGCTGACCACATCCCCTCCTTCCAGCTTCTCTGGACACCTGAAATACCTAAATTTACCACAAAAAAATAAATTTTAACCACAAAGCTGAGGAAACCTTCACACATTAATCCTCACACACATTCACTCAATCTCCCTGCCCTAAATATCCTAAATGAAGCTTTATAAGGAAAAACAAACAATTTGGTTACAAAGACCTTTATGTCATTTCCCTGAATCAGAATATTTAGAACGGACCTGATCCAATCCACAAATGTTTACACGCCTCTCTTGAAATACACACATCTTTAAATACTTCTTCACTACAGTCAGTGTGTTTTCACCCTTCACTCACCTGACCTGGCCTTGTTCGTCTATTATAAGCTCTTTATTGTTACACTTTCCATTGCAGTGCAGTAGATTAGAGCGGTGACGTGGCTCAGATTAGGATTTGAGAGACTGGATTGCTGGCCCTTGCTGGTATAAATCTAGTCTTATCGGTGCCGCAGTGAAAGGCTTCAGGGTCTTTGGCAAAGGTTACAGCTCTTAGTAGTGGTCTTAGTTTGTGGTCTGTAGGGGGGTCAGGGAGTGACCCAGTGCCCTCCTGAAAGCTTGTTTGTCCTCTTAAAGACCACACAGTCACATGCAGATGGACATGGACATGACACTAGAGATGCTGTCATGTGCAAACTTTGTCACTCCATTTGAGGGAAGTTCAATTATTGATCATAAATAATAATAATAATTATTTATATATACTGAAAATATTTGGTCCAGTGTTGTCACTGACATCAGAATCAGGTTTACTGCCAAGTAGGTTTTCACATACATATAATTTGTCTTGGTAAAATGGTGCATATCAATTACAAAACATAGAAAATATATACAAATATAAAAAGACAATATATACAATATGGCCAAATACTTAAATAAACAAGGCCCATCATAATTTCCCAGAGTCCAAGGTGACATCTTCAGGTTGTTTGATTTGTTTCTGATGAGCAGTCCACATGTATATATGTATATATATCACAGAAAAACTGAAAATCCTCACATTTTAGATGCTGTTTGGCACTTTAACTTGAAAATTATTTTTCTTTTCATTGACTAATTGACTAATAATTTTAGCAAAGATAAAATCTTCTTTTCTTTTATTGATTTATTACCCACAGCGTTATGTGTATGGAAAGAACAAGAAGAATAAAGAAAATCAAGAAAAATGTAACAAAAGTTGGTTGGTTAATGGAAATGACAAAAACAGAGAGCAGTTTAAGTTTCCGTCCTCAGATTTAAACTTTTAACTGTGTTTCTCTGTGTTGTCTGTCCTCCCTCGACAGTTTCTGGTTCCTGAAGTTCATCACGCTGCTCGCGATGTGCACTGCTGCCTTCTTAATCCCAACAGAGTCCTTCCTGCATGGTGAGAAACTGTTTCCTGTCAGTCTGCAGAGATTCATCTGAGAATAAATCCATATTGAGACTAAATGTGACGGCGATGGTGTTACTGCACCTCTGTCTGACTCCTGCTAGATGGCAGCAGAGACCTGCCACTGAAAACACTTCAGGTTGACTCACTGCTGTGTTATTGGACCATAAATCTCTGTAGCTTAATTTCATTTTGTTTGGGAACAATAAATCTCATAGTGATACAAGCCTGATAACAGAGCAGGTTTATTATTTACAGCTTGCTCTCTTGCCATCTTTCTCCTTGTTTGCTTCCCTGAAATAAATCAACTTATGGTTCTTCTTTTTCTCTCCCATTCTCCCTCTCTCAGCATGGCATTATGTTGGTGTGGTGGGAGGATTTGCCTTCATCCTCATCCAACTCATCCTCATCACAGCTTTTGCACACACATGGAACAAGAACTGGTGAGTGAGAGGGTCATATAAGTAAAAATATGATATCATGGTATTGTATTGTGCTAGGGATATAAATCAAAACACAGGAAATTTCTGAAAATTGGAAGGACACTAGAAGGATGTTTTCCTATTCATGTGCTGAAAGTGGAAAGTTTCTCTGAGCTCATTGAACATCTACTGGACCTCCTGGTCCAGTATGCAACTTATACAAGTGAGATGTAGAAACATGAAGTCACCAATGCACATACAATAAGAATCGACCACAGTGAAGTAGGAGACATCTTGTGTCCAGCAGGACAAAACTTTAGAAATGACCAAGTCTGGAATTTATAATGAGGTAGAAGAAGTAAATGCCCTTTTTAAGGATTTTAATGTGGAAATTATTATTATAATTATTATTTGGCAGGAAAAAAAACCTATGAGACACACATCATGTTCCAAGCAGACTATTGTATATGTCTTATCACATGTCTGGAGGGGATCTTACAGCAGCACATTGTTGTCTCAAATGTCCCTGACTGTGACATCTGAGACAACAATGTTCTTCCAGCTTTGTTTCCTGTTTTAACATGTCAGTGCCCCTGTGCACAAAATGAGCGCCTTAAAGAAATGTTTTTCACAGTTTGGTGTGGAAGAAGCCCTGACCTTAACCCCATCCAACACCTCTGGGAGGAACAGGAACACTGACTGTGAGTCAGACCTTATCACCCAGCATCAGTGTTGGACCTCATTAATGCTCTTGTGGCTGAATGGGAGCAAGTCCCTGCAGACAGGTCCCAACATCTGGTGGAAATCCTGACACCAGAAGAGTGGAGGCTGTTGTTGCAGCAGATTAATGCTCACAGTTTGGGAACAGGTTTCATAATCACATATGGGTGTAATGTTTAGGTTTCCACATAATTTTGGCCTCATGTTGCCCCTGACTTCATCACATTGATGCAAAAATCCTTTAAATCCAATATTATCATAAAGCAGTCTTTCCCATAAAACTTTACCTTGCTCACAATAATCCAAGATAAAATCCTAAGAGTGAGCTACTGGATACCTTTCAGGGATCTAAGTTATTCGAATAAAAAAGGGAAAATCTTAGGTTGACCTAGAAATATGCAAGTAATGATGAAGTGGACATTGTTTTATACTAAAAGGTCAGAAGCCAAAAAAGAATTAAAAAAAAATCCCTGGTCTAAAACAACTGGAGATAATAAAGGAAAAGTGCAGCTAAGTGATTCAGAAGTTTGAGGAGAAGGATTTGTGTTGTGTTGGCCAAAGAGGTTTAGTACTTCACTGGTGGGAAAGGCGATTTATCATGTTCAACATGTACAGTTCATACAGTGCACATACAATGAGCATTCATATTGACGCTCTCCACTGCAAACCATTAGGGTTTTTTCTAATAAATTAGATTAAAAGAAGTAAATAAAAAGAAAAAATGTCCTTCACAGGTTTAGAGAATTATCCTTCTTAGAATATATAAACCATTGGAGTTGGATTTATGGGTTGGAGTGCCAGCTATGGGACGTCCAGAATTTCTTCTGTCATCTCTTTAATGTACGCTGTCAAATTAAAAAAGAATTTATCTGAAAAAACAAAACAGAGCGTCTGGTGAACAGTTTATACGTGGTTCTCACAGAACAATAACAATATGTTATTTAAGGTCTATCTTACATACATACTGTACATACAGACTCCAGCCTGGTTCACATCTGGAGAAGAGTCTGTCTCCTACACTGGTCATGATGGATTCATCTTCTGTCCAGCAGAACTGAACTGACTTCAGCCACATCTGTCCTGTCAGTCTCAACATCTGGAACTTTGTTTCTGTTTAATTTACTTTTTCTAGTTTGTAGTTTTATTTTTATTTGCTCGGTTGCAGATTTACTCTTTGTGGTTTTTATTTTACAGCCATTCTTTCCTTCATTCTTTTTTTTTCCCCTTCAGCCACAGATACTTTAAAAAGGGAATTTATCATTTACAGTAAATGGTTATACAATCAAATTTGGCAACGCTCAAAGAATGTTAGAAAAAATGTAGAAAATGGTGAAAACACTCTTACCACAACCACAGCCATATCACAAGAAAAACATAAAATCCTCACATTTGAAAAGCTGGAATCAACAAATGTTTTCTTAAAAAGTGACAATTATTTGATTATCAAAATAGTTGCTGATAAATTTTCAACCTTTTTATAAAAGTCAACAGTACCTTGCGATGACGGTATCAGCAGAGGAATTGTGAGACGTGGCAGGTTAAATGGATATGATTGGATGTTCCCAGTCAGCTGGCAGTCACACAGCTGATGAATCATGAATGATACAGCCGATGCCAATTACCTGACGCCAGCGTGCCTTCAGTGCTCTGCCTGAGCTAAGGCTGCGCTCCATTCGGTTCTTTTATTGTTTGCTATGTTGCTCACCTGTACTTTACTTTTTTATTGTTTTGTTTGTTTGTGTGCTTGTTTGTTTTTACATTTGTTTACTTGTTGATATTTCTTCCTCTCTCTGTGTCTTCTCTGTAATGTCCTCCTTCACTCAGCCAGACTTGTCCCCTGACAGCCAGATGTTATTTACTGCATCCAGCTGTTGCTGTTGTGCCGTCAGTCTCTCTCAGCCACCTCTGAACTCTGCTGTGACATGGCAGAGCTGTAGCAACAACAACTAAGAGGATTTATTCATTCAGGACCTTTTCCAAAGCAAACGCACACGGCTAAAAATCCTCTTATTCCCTCCCTACGGTGACAGAGATGACACAATGTTCCTTTATGTCTATACAAATATGCAATATTCGTATTATCTCCTGTATCAACTTCAATGCTGTCTTTTAGATGCAATAAGTAACTGCACATGTTGAGATCACTGTCAGTGAAGAAAATAAAGAGAACACAAGACTTTTAGACGTGCACAACTGGAATATGCTGCATGGGTTGTTTAGCTGTTATAACATTATATACATGTTATAACAAGTGTGGTGCATTTGAAAATATCTGACTTTGATGCCACATAGCAACCCATTACCTGACCCAGGAACAGATAGACTGCACCAGTTTTTATTTCAATTTCATCCATTTTTTGCAAACACACACTTATGCCATCAGAATAGTTTGAAAGATGCTTTAATTGCTAAATATTTTGTCACTTTAAGATGCAATTAGGCTGCTTGAATTCTCATTTTGGAATAAAGCAGTATCAAGGCAGTATCTAAGCAGAATTAAAGATCCCTTCCAGACATTATTAATAAATATTTATTAATAGTCTGCTTGGATCAATATTGTGTGTCTGATAAGATTTTTCTGCAAAAAAGTATAATTTCCATTTTAGAATCATTTAAAAAAGCATCCGCTCATTCTACCTCATTAAAAACTCCAGAGTCTATGAATATGCAAATGTTATTACTTTCGGAAGTTTTCCTGCTGGACACAAGATGTCTTCTATTTCACTGTAAAGTCCATTCTCAGTGTTGGTGCACTGGTGACTTCAAGGTTCTACATCACACTGTATAAGTTGCACACTGGACCAGGATTGGCTTAAAAACTAGTTATGATGTCACAAATCCCACTCGTAGGCCCTGCCCCTTAAAATCTGATTTTCCATGAGCTCGGAGAAAATCCTTCTAGTGTCAAACTCTGCACCCACATCATTCTGCACAGTGAAGTTCAAACATCCAACTGTAGGAACAAGAAGAGAAACGTTTGAGTGGAGGGGGGCTTTAATATCTCTGCAGGATGGATATGAAGCTGAAACTCTTCTGTGCCCCCCCTAAGGTTGACCGGAGCAGCAGAGAACAAGCGTTGGTATCTGGCGGTGATGTGCGCCACCCTCTTCTTCTACACTATCGCTACCATGGCCTTCACCTTCATGTACAAGTACTACACACACCCCATCGCCTGCCAGTTCAACAAGGCCCTGCTGTGGATCAACCTGGGACTCTGTGGCCTCATGTCCTTCATTGCAGTCACGCCGTGCGTGAAGCAGAGTGAGTTGATGAAACACGCTCGCATGTCTGTCATCGATTCTCAGCAGTGACATAACACTTAGTCCATCTCTAGCTCTGCAAACATCCCCCTGTTCAAACCAGTGCTGCTGCAGATAATAATAATTAGACATAAGCTAATATTATCTCTTTGTCCCTTTAAAAACCAAACGCTGACTTCAGGCCTGTGTTGTCAGTACATGTCTGGGTTTTATGATTCAAACATACAGCTGCTTATAGTAACTGAGTATTTATTGAAGTGCTTTTAAGTATAGGCTGAGGTATTGATACGCCACCATATTTACCTCATGGTCAAAGGTACTAGTTACTTGTTGTTATTTTGTTGTTGGGCAAAAATCCAAATGTAAGGACACAGAAACAAAACCAAAAGTAAGGACCCTAATTAATGTTAATTTAACTCTCTGAGAGGAACCATATTCCTTCTCCTGACCCTGACTTTCTCCCTCTCTCCGTCTCTGCAGAGCAGCCTCGGTCGGGACTCCTTCAAGCCTCCATCATCAGCTGTTACGTCATGTACCTCACTTTCTCTGCACTTTCCAGCCGTCCGCCAGAGAAAGGTACGCTAACTGAGCAGACACAGAGCAGAAGCACAGTGGCAGATCCCTGTTGTTCCACTTGGATGCTGAACACTGTGTGTCTGTCCAGTGTTAACACTGACACAGAAACCTCTAACATGAACAAATTTTCTGGGGGATTTTCAAGGTTATTTTGTATATTTCAATTAAAAGAGAAACATATGGTACAGGAAATTAAAGGAAGAATCTGCTGTACATGCAGTCCACTTCCCCTTTTCTGCTGACATGTTATTAATAAAAAATCAGTTTGGACATGTGAATACGATGTTAGACTTGAAAACATCCGAACCGTGCCTTTATTTTCACCACTAGATAAAACCCTCTTATTGTGAAATTTAACTAAATTTGTTTGGCTGTGTCCTATCATCCTGTGTCACTTAGACTTAATAGTGAAGAGCCCACACACACTCACAAGGTAAAATCCTCCATAATATGTCTTTACCTTTCTCATAATGACTCACCTGTTGGCTCCAGGTAAGACAAAGAGCCTCCACATGACTGAGACATTAGTGCTGAGGCTTGTCAGAGGCCCCTGTCTTATCCGGGGTTTACATCTTAATGGCACACATGCAAATATAGACGTACATACACACACACACACACACACACACACACACACAGATAATCTGGGATGAGATGTGCTCTGACATGCTGCCTGCTGGGCTGGTGGCCTGTGGTGAGGGCAGACTGAAGGATATTTGTTTCACATTCCTCATGGATCCATTGACAACATAATAACACAGGAATACAGCCTGGCAGCATCATTACATATGTTCTCACATAGCTCGCCTTGTTGAAGAGATAAAGTGCAATACGCTGTTTAGATCTGCCAGTAAAGTGCCAGTACAGTTTTATACCACGGAGGAAAGGTTGGATAACACAAGAGGTTAAAAGAAAAATACAGTTTAAAAAAGAACACTGTGTATTGTTTGTTGGTTTTTTCTGGCAGATATTTCCACCTGCTACAGAACAAAGATGTAAAATATCAACAGTAATTGATTCCCTAAGGTGCTGGTGCAGCCCAGTCTTACACCAAAGTGTGTAATCCCATCCACTGGAGGATACTGTGTCAGTGTTACGTTTTGCCTCACCTAGACTTTAAAAGTACACGCATGTATGAAGGACAAAGAGCGACAAAGTCTGCATAGGAAGGACGCGGGGTGGTTAACTTACGTAATGTACTGAAGTTTAGTATTTATCTGCATTTAATCAAACATACAATATCTGTGTTTGCAACATACCGAGTAAAATTATGGACATGGAAGACCACAGGAGTATTTTGAGACGATTCTATAGACATTTTGATCCTTTATACAGCATGAAACTATTGCAGTTTGAATCCTCTAATAACTAAGGTTGTTAAAGTCAGTTTTCAGAGCCACCTTACAAGCCTACAAGTGATGAATGCTCTCAACTCCACGTGTAGGTTTTCAGCGGAGAATTCCTTTAACACCTCTCTGGTCTTATTAAATCTAGAAAGTTATTGATTGAACGCTGCTTACTGATTTCCTTTGTATCCAACTTGTTGTTGTCCACAGAGACATAGTGGATGTGTGAGTGTACAGTATGAGTGTGTACAGTAGGTGTGTGTGATTGTCCCGGGGCAGTGCAGGACATTGTAGCAACTTGTTGAGAAAATATGCACTCAGAGTCTGTTATAAAAACACCTTTTCACCACAGACTGTGAACCGCACACACACACACTTAACACATTCTGTAATATTTAATTTCCACCTACTATTGCTGAGTTTCCTTTTTCAGCTGCTTTAATTCAGGGGTTTGTCACCTGTCATGGTAACGTCTCCAGGGGGATGTGTGTGTGTGTGTGTGTGTGTGTGTGTGTGCGTTAGACAAAGAAATCCATCCTCGTTACTGTCTTCTTAGGTCTTTGTTTGCCTAGTCTGTCCCCGGAAGGCTTATTCTGCTCTATGACCTCACCATGACAAACACACACGCACACACACACACACACACACACATACACACACACACACACACAGAGTAATCCTTATGTTTCTGAGAGGAAGAATTAGTCTGGAGTGCAATTGAAAAGACAACTCAAAGAGCAGAACATGTTCTCTCTCCCTTAACGACTCTTGACCCAAGTGTGTGTGTGTGGTGTGTGTGTGTGTGTATAAGTGCTTACTGGACTAACTTTGGGTCGTAATGATCAGACCTGGTTTCTCCATCCCTGTGTGTGTGTGTGTGTGTGTGTGTTATGTGTGGTTGCTTGGTGACTCTGTTGATCTTGGCATCAGGACCAGAGTGTATTTTACATTCTGGCTCAGGACTCTGAAACTGGGTTACTCCTGAACTACTTACGCTGGCAGCATTTTTCTGCTCTAGTTCAAATCCTGGTCGTGGAGGAAGCCAAACTGAGCGTGGATGACCTTGATTCAGCTTATTCGAGCAAGACTGCAGCTCAGAATTTAACATGAAGAACCTGCAGAAATGAACACAAAGGAGGAGAAAGATGATCCTAAACAGACTAACCCTAATAAGCTGCTGAATGAGGAAGCTCGGACAGTCATTAATCTTTCCCATAAATACAGGATTTGTCAGCTATGATACAAAACCTTTTAACTGCGACTTATTCTGAACTCTGGAAGAAACCAGCTGATGACCATGAAGACTAAAAGAATAGCAATGTTGTTGTTTTTAGCTTCAACTAAACTCAAGCGATCATAGGAACCACATGAAAGACTCAGCAGATGGTGTCCAGACTGTGTGTGTGTGTGAGCACATCGTTATCATATACTTGCCTGCACACAGTATTTTTCGTGCAGTGTGAATGGGATTCATTTACAGTAAATATCAGCTGTTCTTCATCACTGATTGACCTTTTTACTATATGCCACACTTTGTTTTCTTTTCACCTTCATAAATAAAACATTTTAATGGTCACTTTCTTATAGAATAATACTGTTTTATCTGAAGCTTATTTCATGCATATAGCACAATCAACAACAACTACAGTGACTTTCTTTACTAAAAGTAAAAACGTGTCCCTTGTAATTATCCATCACAGTGAACAAAAAGGTCGTTGGGTTGTTCTTGTTTTAAATTCAAGCAGCTGTTTAAAGCAGTTTGTCAAAAAAGAACAATTAATTGAACACATGCACATTAGCAATTCAAGGCCTTAGAAGCCAAAGTCAGAGAGGAGTCTGTATTATCTCGGAGGTGAACGACATTGACAGGCTTAAAAAGAAAGTGGGTGAGGAAAATATAAAAAAGTAAGGGGGTCACCAAGAGTTATAAATGTGAACCGGATGGTGGCACAGGAGGAGAACTCAGTGGACTGACTATTTAAAGACTTTTGTACCAATCCATGTGATAGATTGACTGGATACTAGAACTTTCTGACCTGCTGTTTTGTGCTAGATGGAATTCAAGCGCTTACAAAAGCTATGGGGCTTAAATTTAATGTCAGCCAATCCAGTAGCTGGTGAATTATTTCAGTCTGGGTCACAGTGGTAGACCGACGGGTCGACCTACATTTCCATCCAAGAGGCCTGCAACTAGCATGGCTTAAAATCCGACGCTCTGCCATCTGAGCTACACATCCTCCAAACTTACATGCAAATATATAACTGTCCTCCATCTGTACACCAGCATGTGCACATGTTTGTGCGTCTGTTTCAGGATGTTCCTCCTTTTTGTTAATGTGTCCCAGAGATTTTGGTGCTCTGCTTCCTGTTTTGCATTGTCTGAGCGTAAGGGTGGTCTTGTGTCTTGTGAGTGTGTGTGTGTATGTTGGGAAGAAGTGGACAACAAAGCCGACAACAACAGAAATAAATGATAAAATATAAAACAGCAATGCAGGTGACCTGTTAATTAAAACTGCACTCTTGGCTTCAGCAGTTTGTCTTACATACAAAATAAATAAAGAGCAGAGTAAATAGCTTGTCTGAAAATGCCTGTTTGCAGATGCTTATTAATATTGGAATAACAAGGCCTTTTGGAAGTATTGAGGCAGGCATTCAAAACTGGTTCATGTTTGGGTACAAGTAAGTTATGAGTGGCATAACTGACCTTTCCTAAGTCCCGCCCATTTTTGCACTGTGGTCCAATTCCAACAGTTGAGCAAGCCTCGGTCACAACCTCTGTCAACTTCCCCCTTTCCTGTACTTAGATAGGCTATATGCTAAGCTAATCTATGTTGGAAAGACAACCACAATATGAAGATGGTGAAAAGATATACTACCTCTCTAATGACTTATGTAGATGAGCTGGCTGACTTAGAGCAAGAGTCAATAGGTTTGGTTGAATGTCTCGTTGAAGTCACGGACGTTTTACAGCACATCTGGGCTGATGTTTGGGAGTGTGTGTGTGTTTGTGTGGGCAAAGTTAATAGGGACTGAATATGATATATTTTTCTATATTCCATAGATGGGTTTGATGATTAAAAGCTCTCTCCCTCTCTCTCTCCCTCTCTCTCTCTGCAGGATGTCGGTGAAGCTGCGATTCGACTCCCCCTCAGATGGAGGTTTGGTCCACAGGAGCCGCTCCTTCACCGGGTTCAGTTCTCTGACTGGACGACGACGGTGAGTGACAGCCAATGAGAAGTAATAATGACCAACTTAGTTTCCTTAAATTACTTGAAGGAATAACAAGTAGGAACAAATCAGGTCTCTGTTGTCTCAAGACATAGAAAACCTCCTTTAACTGGTTATTATACAGTTTTATAGCAGTCAGAACTTACATGGCTTTAATTTTAAGATAACATGGGAACCTAGAAGATAACTATGGTTTTACAAACTGTGGACACCTCTACATGTGAGGCTATAAGCACAGGCACGCCATTTGACCAATAGTTATACAATATAGTCGTTTTTATTTATAAAAGGAAGAAAAAATGTCTTTTGGGAAACTTCAGACTTCTTTCTTTCTGAGGATGAGCTCTGGTAATAAACATCTAAGTGCTATAGCTCACAAGCCAAATGCAGATATGTTGTTGTTAGTGGTATTAAAGTGTAAGGACCGCACCAGCATCTAAAACAGGCCGAGACACATTTTCAGGCACATTAACATACTGTTTAATGTGCTACAGCTGCGTAGCTAATTAGCTAAGTTAGGAGCTTTAAAAGTGACGTTAGCAGTGCAGTTTTCCCCACTGAATGTTGGTTTGGTTGTGCTTTCATCAAACATTAATGCACAGAACCAGTCTGTGTTCATGATTGTAAGTTTGGTAAGAAGGAGACTTCAGTAGGAAAGCTAATGTGGGTTCCTGTTTGTTTTCTTGATATTTTGGGACTTATGCTTATTGACGTTCTGGCTGAAAATAATGCGTTTATTAGCCAGACGAGACGTTTCCCCTTTTCTTCAGTCTTTATGCTAAGCTAAGCTAATCAGCTGGTGGCTACAGCTACGTATTTAACAAGTTAATTCTTTAAGGCTTCACTGAAAGCTCTTTAATATTACACTGAAACAGTTACTCTCTGGCACTGCAGTCTTCAACATGATACTCAAAGTGAAAACCATTTGAGTCTTCATCAAGTGTCCTTATTTCCTACACTGCTAAAATACACACATTTAATCATATATAATTTTAAAGGTGTAGAATTAAAGAGGTGCTCCACACAGCATGGAGTGCAGCAGCTACAATCAGACCTGTATTTAATTCAGTCGATCAGGTTTTACTAAATGTTGCTAGAATCTGTTCTGCATGTTATGTGTTGATAACAGTGGTACATCTTTTACTGTCTTTATTTATTTGCGTCTTTATTTTAATTCAATTCAGACCTTTACATTGCCAGCTGCTGTCGGTTTGTAAGGCGTCAAGTATTTGAGGATTGTTTTCCCAGAGGAGACTTCCCTTTATTCCCATAACTGCCAGGATGAGTGACAGGCAGAGGAACATAAACAGAAACTTTGACCATATTCTGGCCTCATATTGACTGTGATGGATCATCAAGTTGTTTTTTCATACTGCAGAACAATCAAAGACAGGGAGAAAAAAATCAGTTATTGTCCTCCAAGATTGAAAGCGCTTGAAGCTGAACTGTCTTATGTCGTGTGGAGGGAAATCCCTTCACCCTCAGACGAGCCTGTTCCTCATTGATGGGCAGACAGTGAACGCACCACAGACGGCAAGATGTTATTTCTGAATGAAGAAAGACAGAATCGTCAGTCCCACGAGAGAAAGAGAGAGAGAACAACATGTCATGCTAAGAGCTGGAATGCACTTCCGGTGATTTTTCCATCTTAAACAAACACTTAAAAACACACTATCTCTTTAACACACACTCTCTCTCTCTCT